GAACGTGCCAGTTTGAATTGATGCTAAAATTTTGGACACAGAGAAAATTCTTGCTAAAATTAATTGTTTGGTGTCCTACTAGCTAGCTAGTAATTGAATATTTTAATGTTTGGTCCTACAGTAGCTGCGTGGTCTACTAATCTTTGCTTCAACAGCTGATTAAAAAACAAAAGAAAAACTTCACCATTCAATATTACTCGATTATATAAGAGCAACATGCATCTCTTTAGAGAAACAGTTCATTTTATAAGTTTGAGAAAGTGAAACAGATGGAAAGGAGGGAAACGAAACGAAGAATGAGCCGACATTTCAAGTCATAGATAATCCTCTATCACGTGTCGCCAAGCAACTCCTTTTTGTTGGTAAAACCATGCATATTAAACTTTCTATTTTCTATACGCCGGCAGGCATTGCCCATTAGATCCGTGGAGGTCGGAACTCTCTAGGTGTCATCTCCGGCGACTGCCGACCACACGTCGCCGAAGTTGATTCCAAGAGTAAATGTCGATCGGCTGAGAAATTGTCGGTCAACAGCTGGGGCCCAGATGAGGACTTTCTAGTCAGTTCAGTTGGAAAACTAGTTATGAACTAATAATTAATTAAACTTCCACGTGCGTAGTTGATGAAAGTTTAGAAGAAATCCATCCAATTTAAACTCATACCACGTTTCATATATATATATATATATATATATATATATAACATCAGACGCAAACACAATAGGACAAAAGCAACCAATCCCAAACCTTAAAAAAAAAAAAAGAAAAAAAAGAAAAGAAAAAGAAAAAGAAAGCAAGCCATCCCGAACTTAAAAAAAAATAAAAATAAAAAAGGCAACAAGGACGCTGTACTGACAAATGGCGCCACCGTTGTAACCTGATTGACTATCAAATCAAAGGTGATAACAACACTACAAACCAACGCAACCCATTCGCTTCCCGCGCGCCGGCGCTGTGCCGTGGGTCAGCTTGGTGGCCTCAGTCGCTCTGGGGGTGGACTGGTTTGTTGAGGTCAAACTCCAATCTTGGCGGTTGATTTGGTTGGTTCAGATTGTTCTCCATGTCCAGTTGGAGAGGCTCGTTCAGGTCAATTTCCATCTGAACTGGTTCATTGAGGTCAAACTCCATTCTTAGCGGTTGATTTGGTTGGTTCGCCTCACCTGGAGCCCTTTCCACTGTAATTAAATAAGTCCACGGCTGTTTATTTAAGAGAAAAATACTCACAGTGTCTCCTTTTCTCAGCTCAAGAGCCCTAACAATCGGCATCCAATCATGCTCCAAGAGAACCACTCTATGACGATTTCCCCTCTCTTGCCCAAGTTTTTGAAGCGATAAGGTTACCACAAATGGACCCTTATCACGATCCTCCGAAAACATAATCACTTGTGCCTTTCCTGCACCTTTCAGCTCTTCAGGAAAATGCTCATCTATTTCCCCTTCCACACGTTGTGGAAAGGTGAGCTTTCCACGCCCCAAAACAGAAGAATTGGGCAGTGTTTGTGTTGAAACCCAACTCATTTGTGCCATTAAGTTGTTTGGCCAAGGAAAAATGGAAAAAGGAACCTTGAGAGCTATGCAGTTGGTGTGGATCAGAAGAGAGCCAGTTTTATAGGCGATCCCATCCCATACAAAAATTACACGTGAAACAAATACATGAAAAAGAGAAGAGTTGTATTGCACCGTATTAGTGAAACGACCCTGTTCGATTAGTCAAATGTTACTCATAATTATTTGAGTTCTCCAATTCAGACCAATTCGACGGCTATGATTTGTTTAGTAGATGATGAACTGACAGTTGGATTTGTCGTTGGAGAGATGAAAATGCAAATTGCCAAAAAAAAGTGGAATTTGCTTTTCGGACGGCTATGTTTTGTTTAGTAGATGATGATCTGACGGTTGTGCTCATCGGATCACCTGGTTGATGACGTGTGGTGTGATGGAATAATAAAATATTGTGAGATTATCCATCATTTGAGCTGTGTTTTTACTTTTTACAAGGCTACTTATCATTTCCAGTCCAAAACTTCTTTTGCAATTGCTTTTTGTCCCAAAATTGCTTTTACTTGCAATTGAGCTGGACGCGTATTATGATGTCTAAAATCCCACATCACTTGTGCCTTTCCTGCACCTTTCAGCTCTTCAGGAAAATCCTCACCTATTTTCCCTTCCACACGTTGTGGTAAGGTGAGCTTTCCACGCGCAAAAACAGAAGAATTGGGCAGTGTTTGTGTTGAAACCCAACTCATTTGTGCCATTAAGTTGTTTGGCCAAGGAA